CAACAGAGAGAAACATCTTTGCCACCTCCCTTCCTATAAATATGAATTTTTAAGCAATTGCATGACTCAATGTGTAATCACAAGGTCTTAAAATCTAGAGGTCATGATCTGGCAGACAATCTAATATTCACCTCTCCTTTCATCATACAGAAATAACATTTTCATCAGGGCATACTGTACAGATTCAATTGCTAGTTGGGAGAATATTGACGGTTGCATCTACTAAATTTCATTTTTTCATGCCTTGATCCAAGATATTGCATTTTTCTTCTGTAACAATGCTTCAAATGTCTCGTCCCTCTTAGAATCACTTGTTTATCCATTAAACATTATTTTTGTAACCAGATATATAGATTTTCATAATCAATTTGATGGTGATTCAGACTAACATTGTGAGATGAGAGCTCTTTGGTTGGATAAATAGGCTCAAGAAAAGTACTCATGTTTTTAAAAGAGGAATTAGAAATAAAAGAATAACAGAGTTGGAAAGGACCTTGGAAGTCCTCTAGTTCCACCCCTGCTCAAGTAGAAGACTAATACTATTTCAGAGAAGTGGTTGTACAATCTCTTCTTAAAAACCTCCAGTGATTGAACACTCAAAAATTCTGAAGGCAAGCTGTTCCACTGATTTATTGTGGAAAAGTTCTCTGTATTTTCCTCAGGAAATTATTATTACTCAAATGAAATTTCTCCTTATTTCTAGGTTGGTTCTCTCCTTGATTAGTTTTGATTCATTGCTTCTTGTTCTGTCTTAAGGTGCTTTGGAGAATAGCTTGACCCTTTTTTTTCTTTTGGCAGCCCCTTAGATATTGGAACATCGCTACCCTGTCAGAACATTTCACAAGGTCTTAAAGTGAGGTGGGAGCTTATGGGATTGAAGAAACAAAAAGGATAAAATTGACAGAGTGAATTCTACAGCATATTAAAGAATGCACTGCAAAAGTCCTCCCAAACTCCCTCAAAATTCTCAGAACTGTATTTAAAAATATTGGAGATTGTTTAGCCCCAAAAACTTTAGTTTAATATCAGATTGGGACTGACTGCTATCATATACAAATATATATTCACTTAGGGTTTGTGCATGCACATATGAAGCAGTATGCCAAGTATGTAATCAAGTGTAGTGAATTATTTCATTCTAGCTGATAACCCAGCATTGCTCAGATATTTATTTATCCCAATCCTGTATTAGACAGGAAGAGTAATGAATTATATCTATAGTGTCACGTGAATCCCCCATGATGCCCCTTTTGGGTCTGGTAGGTCTCCTTGCAGTCTCTTGGGAACAAGCATGGGCCACTGTGCTCCTCCTGTACCCCACACATTTGGGCATGATCTTGTGCATGCGTGCATGATCCTGTACATGCACATACTACTCTATGCATGTGTGCGTCCATCTGTGCATGTGTGTGCATCTCCCGCATGTACCCCGTCCCCACACATGTCTGGCAGAAACCCAAAAATCAGCTGGCTGGCATGTGCCATGCACAGTGGTGCTGAGCAGGAGCAACAGCTCATGTGGTTGCAGAGATGACTCTGTGTGCCACCTGCATGTCAAGGGACACACACACAGAGAGAGACAGACAGACAGAGAGATCTAGATCTATCTATCTATCTATCTATCTATCTATCTATCTATCTATCTATCTATCTATCTATCTATCTATCTATCTATCTTCCTTCCTTCCTTCCTTCCTTCCTTCCTTCCTTCCTTCCTTCCTTCCTTCCTTCCTTCCTTCCTTCTGTTTCATTTAAGTATATTTAGATAGGAGTGCAACTGATGTTTTGTAGAATGTTCTTTTAAATATAATCTTTCTGAATGTATATCATAACTTAATTCCTGATATTCCCCAATATCATTATATATTTTATGCTCCTGATTTAATGGAATCTACAGGATAGAGACAAATCCAGTTATTTTCTTAATGGATTTTTGTAATGTTTACAGATGTTATGGGTTTAAATCCTAGCTTCCATCCACTGATGTTAAATTTTGGGAAAACACATTAATTTGTAAAATAAATGTCTGCCATAAGAATTTGTCTCCAATAATATAGCAATAGCAATAGCAGTTAGACTTATATACTGCTTCATAGGGCTTTCAGCCCCCTCTAAGTGGTTTACAGAGTCAGCATATTGCCCCCAACAACAATCCAGGTCCTCATTTTACCCACCTCGGAAGGATGGAAGGCTGAGTCAACCCTGAGCCGGTGAGATTTGAACTGCTGAACTGCAGATAACAGTCAGCTGAAGTGGCTTGCAGTACTGCACCCTAACCACTGCACCACCTCGGCTAAATTCACTGCTTTATTTACCATTAAGTAAATTGATGGAAGAGACAATTTTGTGTAGTGGTTAAAGCATCCGGCTAGAGACTGTGAATTCTAATCCTGCCTTAGGCACAAAGCTAGCTGGGTAATCTTGGCCTAGTCATTTTCTCTCAACCCTAGGAAGAAGGAGATAGCAAACTATTTCTAAAAAAGTTGTCAAGAAAATTGCAGCGACTTGTCCAATCAGTCTCTGAGAATCAGACACAATTACAATAGAATACAATAGCAGAGTTGGAAGGGACCTTGGAGGTCTTCAAGTCTAACCCACTGCCTAGGAAGGAAACCTATACTGTTCCAGACAAATGGCTATCCAACATCTTCTTAAAAACTTCCAGTGTTGGGGCATTCACAACTTCTCCTTAGTTCTAAATTGCTTCTCTTTCCACCAACTACTTTTTCTTCTACCCTCAGGCGCTTCAGAGAATAGTTTGACTCCCTCTTTTTTGTGGCAACCCCTGAGATATCGGAACACTGCTATCATGTCTCCCCTAATCCTTTTTTTCATTAAACTAGACATACCCAGTTCCTGCAACAGTTCTTCATATGTTTTAGTCTCCAGTCCCCTAATCATCTTTATTGCTCTTCTCTGCATTCTTTCTAGAGTATCTACATCTTTTCTACATCGTGGCAACCAAAACCAAATACAGTATTCCAAGTGTGTCCTTACCAAGGCATTATAAAGTGGTATTAACACTTCAAGTGATCTTGATTCTATCCCTCTGTTTGTGCAGTCTAGAATTGTGTTGGCTTTTTAAAAAATTAAAACAGAAGAAAAAAATGGAAGGCCCTCTTGTAATCTCATAATCATTGAAAGTGTACTTGGTGTAAAACTAGAATTGATGTTATGTTTCTGAGTGAGATGGTCATAGATCATGGACACATTTTTTAAAAAAAACATTTCAGTATCTGAGATGATACTAGATGAAGTTAATAGTATCAAGGTAGACAAGAGGTGATCTGAACTGTATTTTAAAATTGTCTGAAGAAATTAAGGTTTTCCATCATCTTAAATCATCATACATAGTATTTCTGTAAATATGTGTAAAGTGTAGTAGATTTCAAAGTATAACAATGTAGAATTTGCTGTCTAAATGCTGTTAGTAATCTATTTCATTTAATGAATTATATTCAGATCACTTATGGATCAGCTCCAGAGATAAATGATAAATCTCCAGGTCTGTCTTTCTACCAAATGGCCCCTAAGGATGATCTTCAGCATGTTGGAATCCTCTCTTTGCTTCTCTATTTCTTATGGACATGGATTGGGATCCTTGCTATGGACGATGACAAAGGAGAAAGATTTGTGCATGCTATTATTCCAGCATTTTCCAATCAAGGCATCTGTTTTGCCTTTATAGAAATGTTCCCTGGAATAAATTACTCTGCTGAACATGAAAACATGTTAAACCAAGGAGCACAAATGTATGAAGTTATCACAGCAAGCAAAGCCAATACAGTGGTGTTCTATGGAGTATCTTACTCTGTTTTGTTTTTGATATGGTTTCCCCACATTTCTGAATTTGGAGAGCAAAAATCATATATAAATCCATTAAAAGGTAAAGTATGGATAATGACTACTCAGATGGAGCTCAGTGTTTTGAACTATCAAAGGACCTGGAGTTTAAGATTGTTACATGGTGCTCTGTCCTTTACAATTCACACCAAAGAACTTCATGGGTTTCAAGATTTCATTCAGAGTCAGAAGCCATTAAATAACAAAGAGGATGGCTTTTTGATGGACTTCTGGCAACATGTCTTTAATTGTGCATTTCCAAATAGAATTCAGGATAAAGTTGAAGGACTCATGTGCACAGGCAAGGAAAAGCTGCAGAATGTACCTGGCCCCTTTTTTGAAATGAATATGATTGGCCATAGCTACAGTATATACAATGCTGTCCATAGTGTGGCCTATGCCTTACATGCCATGACTGCATCAAGTCTCAGCCAAAAAGCAAGAATGGATCAATCCAAAATGATGCACTCTCTGCAGGTAAAAGGCTTCAAATTTGCAGTATGGGAAATTTTATCCCTAGCTTCTCCATCTGTTGTCCATAAATTTGCAGACACATTGAACATGAACTTGAATTTCCTTTAGAGGAAATTCATGCTTAAAGTTAATATTTAATGTACATCATGATATGGAATAAATAAAATGTTGGAAAATTCACTAGTATAAATGCAGTGGTAATGCCTTCCTTTGAATATAGGCAAAAATGTTAACTCTGTTTAAGTAAACTTAGCACTTGACCAAGATGTAAATGATTTTCTTTTTAAAAAAAAAAATCTATCTAATCTGTGAGCAGAGAAACCAAGAGATCAACATTTGCAAAACTATGTAACACAATGATAAATTCTTCAGTATGATTTCTCTCCATTAAGCAACACAAATGCAAAAGGCTGATAGGAAGTGTTCCCACATTATGGTTTCCCTTATGGAAAAGAAAAAAAGGGAAAAGGAAGGGAGATTCTTCGGGGAAAAGAAAAAAACCCACTTAAATTGAATTTTCATTTTCAAACCAGCTTCATCACTTTCTCAGTAGTGTCTCATTTAACAATAGTGCTGGAGACTGTATCTCCTTTGATGAGAACAGGAGGTTATTAGTTGGAATGGACATTATAAACTGGATTACTTCCTCAAATCTATCTTTTCATAGAAGAAAAATTGGGAGAATGGCTCATGAAACTTCTCTAGGAGAAACATTGACCATCAACAAAGATGCCATAGTATGGCACAGTTGGTTTAACCAAGTAAGTTTCACTGTTCTTCAGTTTAATGATTAATCCTAATAATTTTTGATTTAAAAATGAAAAAAGTACTATAAACTAACTGTTTTAACAAATGATGCTGATGATATTTGTCTATAGTGTTCAAAGAGGACCTTGACACCAAACAGGATGTGAGCGGTGCACAATGTCTCCGCAGGTGGTTGTTAAGGCCTATATGGGCATGAAATATTTTGCTACATGTCGGACAGACATCTGTGGGCATCATTGTTGCAGCATTTGCAGCTCTGGCTTTTCAGAGTGCTTGCTTCTCTTGTGCTATGGTTGTTCTTCTGTCTTCAGATGTCTGCCAGCCTTGGTGGATCGGCATGCACCATATTGATTGATCTTGTGCCAGGGTTTCCCAGGAGGTGGTGTCAAATTCCAGGGACTTGAAGGAGGTTTTCAAGGTGTCTTTGTAACACTTCCTTTGTCCCACGTGTGAGTGATCACTTTCCTTGAGACAGTTCACTATAAAGCAACTGTTTGGAGATGTGATGGTCTGGCATCCTTGCAACATGGCCTGCTCAACGTGTCTGAACTTTCATCAGCAAGGTGTGAACTGATGGGAGGCCTCCTCTGGAGTGGACATCTGTGTCTGGCATCTTGTTCTGCCACTGGATCCTCAGAAATCTACATAGAATTCTATGGTATAACAAATGAAGGTCTACTGAAATAATATCTGGAGCATGTCTTTAAATTGTCTGAAAATGTGTTGATGGAAATGTAAAGCAAAATATACATTGAATTATTTTCGAGAACAAAGTCTTTTGCTCCAATTTTCAACCAAACTATTAAGAATAATAGGAACAATCATTCCTGCTCAAAAAGTCATACAAATTTAGGTTTTAGGTTACAATCTTTCCAGGTGTGCATATTTAGTGAAAATAAATACATATGAGTTTACATGTTGCTAAATGTATAAGCATACTTTCCAGTCCTCACAAGCTTATTTGGCTTGAACTGCAGCATCAGGCTTATCGTCTAATTTTCAATCTAATGCATGCTCATAATTATTAAAAGTTTTAATCAGAGAGGTTAAGAACAAAAATAAATAATTCCAAAGACAACTTACTGTATATTAAAATGTAAGGAGTTAGTCCAAACACAATGGGTTTTCTTCAAATCATGCATCATTTGTCATAATAGCTTTGATTGCATAATTACTATAAAAACTGATTTCACCCAAATCTGTTGACTTAGATCTGCTCTAGTTTTCTTAAAGATTAACCATATTCATCCTACTACATCTGGCTGGTTATTGGTATAGCCAAGCACTTCCTTGTTATTCTTCCTTCTTGTGTGCCTTTAATAAATATGGGCATGTTTGTGGAATAGCTGGAGAAGTTTTAGAGACTACAGTGTATTTGGTGGATTTCATAGAGCTGGTTTCTGGATCTGGCTCCTTATTGGAAACAAAACTTACTTATGGTAGTCTTCCTTATTTAAATAATGCTTGTACGACTGTCTCTTGATGCCCAAACACATGCATATTGTAGATGTATTACTATATTCCTATAGATATTCATAGCATAGTTTGGTACAAAGCAAGAGTCTTGATTCTCATGCTCTTCCAATGATCCAGCATTCATGTGTAATAATATAATGTACCTAATTTATATAAGTCTAGACATTTGGTGATGCCATTATTTTACCATTTATCCAAGCATTTGGTAGATTTTTTAAAAAAAGAAAGTGCAAAGTCTGACCAGAAAAGAACATGGTTTGATAAAGTTTAAATTATTAAATATTTGACATATTATGGACATATCTTGTCCATTAAATAAAATACATGTATCAAACAAATCTAATAAACAAAAATATATTGGAAATCAGTGAAAAATATTTTCAAACATTAAAATGCTTTTAAATTCATATACTTATTCATCTTTGTATAGCAATCAGATGATCAGAAGTAGATCCCATCTACAGGATTGCATTTTGACAAAGAAATGTGAACTCTTTCAAATCTTATTATTCTGCAACTCTAATAACAAAAGGAGAAGAACAAGACTCAATTGAATTTTTAATCGATGATTGTTCTCAAATTTACTCTCTTCTTACATTTCTAATTAGGTCCAGCCAATCTCGATATGTAATGGACATTGCCAACCTGGTACTAGCAAGAAAGTGAAGGAAGGGAAGCCATTCTGTTGCTATGACTGCATTCCATGTCCAGATGGGAAGGTTTCAGAGAACGAAGGTAAAAATTAAGATAAATAAATGGCTATGCACAGAAAATTATATCTAGAAGATGTTGGATGTGAACCTGTGAAAATATGCTTTAAATTTCTATTCAACCATGGAGGTTATGAAGTGTTTTTTTAATTACAGGTAGTTCTTGACATTACCACTATTGATACAGAATTTTTTTGTTGCTAAGTGAGAAATTTATTAAGTGATTTTTGTCTCATTTTATGACTTTCCTTGCCACATTTGTTAAGTGATTTACTGCAGTTGTTAAATTAATAACAGAGTTGTTAAGTGAGTCTGGCTTCCCCATTGACTTTGTTTGTCAGAAGGTTGCAAAAGGTGATCACATGAAGATATGTACATATGTACGATAATGGTTGCAGTGTATGGGGACATTGCAACCATAATAAATATGAGTCATGGGAAAGAAATATGAGGTAGAGGGAAAGAAGAGGGAGGAGTAAGGAAGGAGTAAGGGGAATGTAAGGAGGGTGTGTTGGGAGTAAGGGGAGAAGGAAGGTTTGAGGGGAAAGGGAAGTAGGAGGGGAGTGTTAGAGGGAGGAAAAGAAAGTTGGAGGGGGTAGATGGGGTGTATGGAGGATGGAAGTGTCAGGTGGGGTTGTGAATGAGTTGTGTTTTCTTTTTTATTTTTATTGTTTTTCTTTTTTTCTTTTTTTCCTTATAGCAAATACCCTGTATATAAGTGATTGTAAAATGGAATGTGAAAATGAATAAAATATATTTAAAAAATAAATAAATAAATATGAGTCAGTTGCCAAGCATCTAACTTTTGATCATGTGACCATCAGGATGTGTGGTCATAAGTGTGAAAAATAGTTATAAGTTGCTTTTCAGTACCATCGTAAATTCAAAAGGTCACTAAACAGAGTGTTGTAAATCAAAGATTACTGTAGTCTCTCTCAAATGGATCCATCGATTGGGTCTCCATTATTAGGGAGGTAAAATGAGAGATGCTTTTAAATATATCATCTTTAGCTGTTAAAGAAAAGGTAGGATATACATAAAATGATAAATCAGTAATTTTCTGCTTTTGTCAGAGCTGAAAAGTTTAGAGGAAAGTGTTGAATACAAAGAAGATGCTTAGAAAAGGACAAATGATACATACATTTAGGTTAATGTTATCTTTTGAAATGATAGAGGAGAAAAAAATAGACGAGAGGGAAAGTGGGGAAAAAGATAGCTCTATAGATCCTTAGGTCGTCATTATCATGATTGTTATTGTTGTCATCATGAGAAGAAGATAGCAGATTTTTCAGTATTAATAATTGAATGGTTCCGCAATCAGAATTAATAACAGCAAGAGTCAATTATCACTTTTTGAAACAATGAAGTATAATAAAATTACATTCCTAGGATCCCCTTCAGAGGAAAAAAAATGAAAATGACCCATTTGGGGCAAAGAGAAGGCTCTAGAAACTATATTTGTGATATCAATTGGGTTTTAGGCAGCCTGCACTGGTTGCCAGTTGTTTTCTGGGTGCGATTCAAGGTACTAATTATGACCTTTAAAGAGCTCCATGGCTTAGGCCCAGGGTACTTGCGAGACCACCTACTGCCACCAGTAGTCTCCCACCATCCAGTGCGATCCCACAGAGTTGGACTCTTCAGGGTGCTGTCGGCCAGACAGTGTTGGCTAGCAACCCCCAGGGGGAGAGCCTTCTCTGTGGGATTGTCTTCCCTCTGGAATGAGCTGCCCCCTGAGCTTTGCATAATCCCTGACCTCTGGTCCTTCTGACGCATCCTAAAAAGTTGGCTTCTGCAGGAAGCTGGCCTGGCCTGAACAGAATAAAATAAATGATTAATTTAATTGTTAATTTTAATCTAATTTTTAAAATGTTATTGTTAATATTAATTGGGTTTGTTTTTTGATACTTTATTTAATTTCCTTTTTAACTTTTATAATATGTGTTTTTTAATGTTGTACACCCCCCTGAGTCCTTTGGGAGAAGGATGGCATATAAATCCAACAAACAAACAAACAACAAAACATAGATTTGATATAGGAATTGAAACCATGTAATTTTTTTTGTTTTTCAGATATGAGAGATTGTTACAACTGCAGAAATGAATTCTATCCAAATAAAAACAAAAATTTCTGTCTGCCTAGATATGTAAGTTTCTTATCTTATGGAGAACCTCTTGGGATCAGTTTTTCTTTCTCTGCCCTTTTATTTTCTTTGATTACAGTTCTGGTGCTGGGAATATTCCTAAAGCATCACAACAGTCCCATTGTTGTAGCCAATAATCGAAACCTCACTTACACACTTCTGGTGTCCCTCCTGCTTTGCTTCCTCTGTGTGTTCTTGTTCCTTGGCCGTCCTGAGCATGTGACCTGTCTTATCCGTCAGGCTGCTTTTGGAACCATCTTCTCAGTGGTAGTTTCTTGTGTGTTGGCAAAGACTATCACAGTAGTTTTGGCATTCTTAGCCACCAAACCTGGATCCAAGATGAGAAGATGGGTGGGGACAAGACTGGCCATCTCAGTCCTTTTTTTCTGCACCCTGATTCAGGCATGCATTTGCATTTCATGGATGTGGACTTCTCCACCTTTTGTAGAGACTGATACTCATTCAGTGAATGAAGAAATCATAATACAGTGTAACGAGGGGTCAGTGATTATGTTTTATTGTGTCCTGGGTTACTTGGGCTTTCTGGCTATTATCAGCTTCTCTGTGGCTTTCCTTGCCAGGAAGTTACCTGATACTTTCAATGAAGCCAAATTCATCACATTCAGTATGTTGGTGTTTTGCACTGTGTGGTTGTCTTTTGTTCCAACCTATTTGAGCACCAAAGGAAAGTACATGGTTGCTGTGGAGATCTTCTCCATCTTTGCTTCCAGTGCTGGTTTGATGGGATTTATTTTTTCCCCCAAATGCTATATTATTCTCTTGAGGCCAGAGCTGAACAAGAGAGAACAACTGATTAGACGGAATTACTGAAGACTAAAAACGTATTTTGCTATTATATAGAACCTAGAGATGAGACATGTTCAGTCTGTCCTCTATAATGATATTACTATGTTGTGGGCAGCCTACTACTATTTGCCCACATCTAACTCCCATCACACTTCTTTGTATCTCCTTGAGATTTACCCCCAACCTTCACCATCCCCCCACCACACACAAAGACAAGGGATAGGAAAATACCAGATAGCTTGACTTTTTCCATTTATTTAAGAAAAGAAAAATATAAAGTTAAGCAAATAATCATATAGCTTTTCCTCCAATAAATACATGTGAAGTATTCTTTACATTTTGAAACAGTTTATATGAGACTACTTTTCATTGTACTGGTATTGACAAATTGAATTTACAGTAAAAAGATATGTGGCAAATATGTGGTTTATTTTTTTTGAGTGTTTTATAAAATACATGATTCATAACTATTTATTGGGGAAAAATTCTGCATACTGTTTTTTCTTTTAAGTCAAACTGCAATCTACCTTTTAAGAAAATTATATTGGAAAACCAGATTGAAATATTTATCTTTAAATATTTAGGTACTCATATTACATAGGATATCTGTATTAGTCTGTTAAAGAACAACAATGCAAAATCATGTGGCAGATTAAATATTAATGAATTAATCTTTGTTGATTTGATGTTAGGAACAGCAGTTAACAGAAGCAGGTGTTGTGTATGTAGACACATCTGCTACAAGATAGCACATTAGGTATCATTAGGTATATTAGGTAATCTCAGTCAGGACATATTTCTGCCATGTTGGACTTCTGCCTATCTTAAATACAATGAAGATGGCTGAGTTTTGGATTTACTTGTGTCCCCCATTATGTCAAATTTCTACATGTAAGATGTAGAAACCAAAGCCCTAAACTCCTTCACAGGAATTCCATCCACCTACTGGTAAAGGTATGTAGTTGATACTTGGGTCAAGATTAAAGCAAGGAAGTGGAAGCTTTCTTCACGAAGCACATCAGGTTTGTGGACAGATGCATTAAGTTCACAACAAGGGAAGATGCTAAGGAAAACTGTCTGGTTTTCCTGGATTGTGTTGTGCAGTTAAGGAAGACAAGGGTTTTGACATTGAAACTTGCAGAAAAACTAACACATACTTTCATTTTAATTTTTATCACCCACTGGAACACAAAATGGTTCCAGATTGGAACCATTGCTCAGAACTCTACACCATTGGGTTAAAAGTTTGCTTACCATTCCTGGTGGGAATGGAAAGATTCCACCACTACAACCAACTAATCTCAACTGTCAATAATTGTCCTTCCATCTCCAACACCATCCAATACAACTGATGGAACTTCCAGGATAGAAAGCGAATTGTTTTCTTCTTCCTCAAAAAAATAAATTAAAAAAAGTTACTTGCCTTTTCAAAATAAAAACCATTTTTGATACAACTATGACCTGGATGTCTGAGAATCATCATAGGCATTCAAATGTGGGACTGATTCTCATGGAGAAAATATATCCATATGGTCATTAAAAGTTGATAATGACTTTAAAGGTACATAATCAATTACTTAACCAATCTTGGCTTCTAACTTCTTTCTATCATATAGTACTTCCTCAGGTAATAGAAGAAAGATCCAAAATAATAAAGTAATTCAATTCACTTGATCTCTTATTAAGCAAATATGTCAGATTTCACAACCAATATTTAAACCAAAGTACATCATTTTTTTTTAAATATTTTGTACTGAATTGCAGTTCATAGTTTCAGTAAATATATTAAGAGTATTAATTAATCATAAGCATGACACTCCAGTATCAATTAAAGAATGAGTAACAAGAAAGAAGATAAACAAAGAAGGTTGCAAATACAAACCTCCAATAGAAAGGAAAAAGTCAGACATCAAGACATGTCATGCAGAAATAATGTCTAAGTGTTCTGACTCCCTCTCTTCGTACACCAAAGCACACTGAGGCAAAGATACTTCAAAGATTTATTAATACACAGACTAGATCTTGGCAGCAATCCAGCACAGACTGACCTTGGCAGCAATCCAGCCTGCCAAGATAGCCCCCTCCAGGTGATGCCTCCAGGCCTCACACACCACCTTGATAGCCAACAACTCCTTCTCCCAGATGGTGTAATTGCATTAGGAAACATTGAGTTTCTGAGAGTAGTAAGCGCAAGGGAAAAGGGGCATGAGCCTGCAGTAATACCGCACCCACTGTGATGTCAGATGCGTCCACCTCCACTACAAAGGGATGATGGGGATCAGGGTGCTTTAAGATCAGCTCCCTCATAAAAGGCCTGTTGCTCCATGGGCCCCTAGCGAAAAGGCACTTTCTTTTGCAGGAGCCAAGTGAGGGGCGCGGTCAAGAAAGCAAAGCTGGGGATGAAGGTCCGGTAATAGTTGGCAAACCCGCAGAGTCTCTGCACACCCTTCATACTTCGAGGAGGTTGCCAACTAAGCAATGCCTCCACCTTGCGCCTCCTCCATCACAATTCCCTCAGGGGAGATACAGTGCCCCAGGAACGCGATGGTAGTCTGCCAAAACTGACACTTCTCCAATTTTGCGAACAAATGATGTTCTCAGAGTCATTGCAAGACCAGAAACCAAATGTTGTTGATGATTCTTCTGGGACGTCAAGTAGATCAAGATGTCGTCCAGGTAAATGACGACAAACTGATCCAAAAGGTCTCGGAAGATGTCATTCATAAAGTGTTGGAAGACTGCCGGCACATTGGTCAACCCGAATGGCATGANTTCAAGGATATTTTAATAAACTTCAAACAGGTTCATTTATTATCTTTCAAGTCCAAATGTTGTCTTCCCTCCAATAGCTAGTGATAGAACTTCCAAAAGGCACCTGTATAAATAATTTGTGCTCTTCCTACTATCACTGTCAGTAAACAATTGGAAAGAACCTTGAATATCAGGTGATCAAAGAGAAAGAATCTCAAGTGATCAAAGAGAAAGAAGAAAAAACAATGTATCCAGTCTCCAGCCTTTAAGTGGCAGTGTAACTGCTTTTCCTCCTGTTGTTACAACCCCCTTTATAATCCTTCTTATTATCTTCTTTATATTCCAAGCTTAAGAAAGAAAGAAAAAACTCTTAAATGGAGATCAAAAGCAATCCAATCAATCAAATCATCAAATCAAGCATTATAAAAAAGGAAAATTTTAATCCATAGGGATAAGCATAAGTGAAAAAAGAAGAAGAAAGAATTAATCCATTCAGTTAAAAAAATAGGGAGCCCCTGCAAAAGTTCCATCCATGAAAAAAAATAGAAACTGGATAACACACTAAGTTGAATGCAGATCAATCTCATCGTCTACGGTCTTCTGTCTTCAATCTTAACTTAATTTTTTTTCTTGGGTAGTGTCTAATAATAAAATTTCCTCACCAATATGACACACTTTCTCTTTCTGCTTTCTTCCCATTCTGGAGTTGTCCCAACTTCAGCAGCTACATTAGCTGCATTTCTGTCACTGGAAAAAAAAGGTCTATTCTGGATCTTTCAGGGACTTTGCAGTGTCCCTAAGATCAGCAGGAGGTGCCCTTCTCAATCACCTTTTCTGCAGGACAGTTTAAGTCCAAATGGACCATCCAGTGGCAGAAATTCAACTGCAATCTCAGAGTATCAAGATCGCAAGTTGTGCCGTCGCTATGTCAGCTCTCCTCTCTCTGACTAAGAATCAATCTTGAATAAAATCTATATTTTTAAAATTCCCCAGTATAATATTATCAAGCATCAATTCTGTAATACTAATTTTGGGAATAACTTAATTGATTTTTCAACAATATGAGTGACACCTAGCCAGGTGTCTTTGCACTGGCTCTATCAACTCTCATAACTGACCATGCTAGCTAAAGCTAATGCTTATTTCTGCTAATTGATACAAAATGATTATTTTTTTAAAGAAAGCGACTTATTTTAGAAGTTACAGAATGCCACCAGAAGTTTGGAAGTGGATCTTACATCTGAAGTGTTTTTTTTAAAAAAAATACATTTGTTTTGTAAAAAATACAGCCTTTTGTTTTGAGGCTATATTTCACAAATATTTAATTCCTTCTTAACAGAAAAATTTCTGAAACATTTGTTTCCCTTCCCTCTAGATATTTCATTTTCTGAAACAAGTATCTTTCAACAATAGCGTAGGGGATAAAGTTTCCTTTGACCAGAATGGTGTGTTTCTAACAGCACTTGATGTCATTAATTGGGTTTTACTTTTAAACTACTCTTTTACTAGAGTAAAAGTTGGAATAATCAATTCTCAAATTCCAGATGATCAAAAAGTTATCATTAATGAAAATTCCATTCTGTGGCACCATTGGTTTAACCAGGTAGGATATACATGCAAACTGTTGGGAAGTTACCAAGCAGTATAAATAATAAGAATGGGAATGCCATAAAAATGACCCAAATTGTTTGTGTGCTAACAGTTTGTGAGTATATAGTGTATATACAAATGATGAATGAACCCCATCTCCCTTTTTTGTCTCTTCTAAAATGTGACTCTTCTTATGTATCTCATTCAAGATATATTAACCTTCTTTTCTTCTTTTTTCTATACTCAATTTCTTTTTTTTAAAAAATATCAAGTTTAGTTGGTATAATTCCTGAATACTTCATCTATGTTTTTAAAGTTGGCCCCAAAATATAAGTCATTGTTTTAGAGTCAATTTTAGTGTAATGGTTTAGTATATTGGATCCTGAATATATGTATGTATGTATGTATGTATGTATGTATGTATGTATGTATGTATGTATGTATGTGCGTGCATACACATATATATACACACACATATTTACATATGTATGTATGTGTGTATGTGTATGTGTATGTGTATGTGTATGTGTATNTGAGCTTCGCATCAGGTACCAGGTCCATGGGACAGTCATAAGGCCAGTGCGGTGGCAGTTAATCTGCCTCCTGCTTGCTGAAGACATCCGCAAACTCCGCTAAACCTGGCAGCACAGACACCTTGGGCGAGCTGGGTACCTGGGCTGCAC